TTGCTGCTGTTGTTGCTGTTGCTGCTGTTGTTGTTACTGTTGTTGCTGCTGCTGTTGTTGCCGCTGTTGTTATTGTTGCTGCTGTTGTTGTTGCTGCTGCTGCTGCTGTCATTGCTGTTGTTGCAACTGCTGTTGTTGTTGCTTCTGTTGTTGTTGCTGCACGAGTCCTATGAACTATACGTTTTTTCTAATTTACTTTCAGAAATTCGCCAAATTACGTTCAACATTCCCGTCAAAAATATGAAGCTCACAAACCATGAAATAGCCTACCTCAGGGTAGGATCACAAGATGTTTGTATGGAAGCATGTTTTTTGGACCCCAACTGCGTCTCGATAAATTACTATCCCACACTTGAAGAAAGTTATGAAAACTGTGAGCTGAGCTCCTCCGATGATTATTTGTGCCCTGAAGACTTTGTTTTTAGCAAAGGAACTGTATATTTTGGTATCCAGGTAACTAATTTCACTGACTGACTGACTGACTGACTAAGTGACTGACTGACTGACTGACTGACTGACTGACTGACGAATTGAAATATCAATCGATCAATGACTATTTTTCCTTGACAACAATGAGCTTCAATCAGCTGATAAAAGTCTTCGCATCTCATTATCTGTTCCAAATGGTTACCAAGCACTGACCACCATGTGCTGTCAGCCACAAAGAATGCTATTGAAAACTTAAGATTCAGCTGATGAACATCTCGCCTAATAAATATTGATTTCGTTTTTGTTTGTTTATTTGTAGAATCAATGCCACGGTGCCAAGTGCTATGAACAAAACATGACATGTCAATCAGGCTTCCCTCCTGAAGGCTACAAGTGCGTCGCCCCTTTGTGCTATGAAGGTAAACGCGAAATCTTTAAGAAATCGAAAGCGCGCGCTTGGCTGTGTGCAGTTATAAAGCACCCGGGGATTGGCAGAACACGAGAGAAGTGTTAGGAGAAGCACGACGCGTAGCGGAGTGCTTCTTGACACTTCTCGAGTGTTCTGCCAATCCCCAAGTGCTTTATGACTGCACACAGCACAGCAAGCAAGTTTTATTCCTTTTATAAAATGCAAGGGGCATGTGTGCTGTGTGCTCTCAACCAATACGAGATTTATAACAGTTATTTTATAATATTAAGTATGTGTATTGTTTATGATTATGCACTTGAATGTATAGTACGTGGCGTCTGATTTAAAATTGTGTGTGTAAGCGCATTGATGATTGTTAGACGAACGATAGATGTGTAGGCTGGATAGATATATAAAAATATATTAAAAGGGATACAAAACGCGCGCGCATGTCTCTTTACCGTTCGTTATAAACACGCTGGGAGCTGTAGAGCAAGAGAGAAGCAAGCGTAGGTACATGAAGCGTAGCCGAGTGTATCTCTTGCTTAACCAGTGATCTAAAGCTCCCAGAGTGTTTATATCACAGTACAGAGATATATGCAGCTGTTTATATTGTTTTGATAAAACATTTTTGAAGGATTTTGCGCGATCGTATCCTGTCCTCAGATTTAAACACGGTAGACAACCAATCAGTGCGCTTGTTATATCTGAAAATTTGTATATATATATATATATATACATGTGTGTGTGTGTGTGTGTGTGTGTGTGTGTGTGTGTGTGTGTGTGTGTGTGTGTGTGTGTGTGTGTGTGTGTGTGTGTAACGGCTTTATGCTGTTTTGTATTTGAAGCTTTTAATGTATGTCATTCCATGTCATTTTAGGCCCTTTGGGAATGGAAGACAAAAGAATCCCTGATTCATCTATCTCAGCTTCGTCTGAGTACGGAAAAGGAACTTACTTAGCTAAGAATGGACGGTTGAGATCAAAGTGTAATAAATGCGTTTGGGCGGCAGAGGAAAACAAAGTAGGAGAGTTTTTGCAGGTTGATCTTGGCCACAAAATGGTTCTAACCAAAGTACAAACACAAGGCAATGTGTGGATGAAGGACCAAAAGGATGAGTGGGTGACCGAGTACTACATCGCTTATAGCCAAGACCGTAACCACTGGCAAAACTACACCAAAGATGGAAACCTTACAGTAAGTGATAAGAGTGAAATGAAAGAAAAAGAGAAGAAAAGAAAACAAATGTATGTATGGTTTTACATTGTCTTTAGCATCTATACCATCATCTTTATCATCATCATTATCACCATTATCATCATCACCACCACAATCGTCATTATCATCAATATTATCATCATCAATAGCAACATAACCATCATCATCATCTTCATCATCACCATAACCCTCACCTCACCACCATCATCATTATCATCACCATCATACATCACCACCATCATCATTATCATTATCATCACTACCACAACCATTATCATCATCGTCGTCATCACCACCATCATCATTATCATCGTCGACGTCGTCATCGTCGTCATCGTCGTCRTGATATGTGTAAAAAAAAATGCGCGGTTTACCACTCCTGGGTGGACGTCTTTTAAGGCATTAAAATGCCTAACGGGCCTTGCGACCCAATTGATAAGGCCGGTAGATCGAATTGGAATTTAGAAGATGATTTTTGTGGAGGGAGGAAAAACCGGAGAACCCGGAGGAAAAACCGGAGAACCCGGAGGAAAAACCGGAGAACCCGGAGGAAAAACCGGAGAACCCGGAGGAAAAACCGGAGAACCCGGAGGAAAGGCCGGAGAACCCGGAGGAAAAATCGGAGAACCCGGAGGAAAGGCCGGAGAAGCACTAGAAAATTGTAAAAGCCCCATCTACCCTTTCTAAATTAATACCTGATACTTGGTCCTAACTGATTTTTAGCTTTTAAGTTATTTATTAGGGCCAGTATATCTATATTTTTTTAAATTATCATATTTTGTAAATATCATCGTAGTAGTTGTCATTCTAGGCAAATAAATTGTCGTCGTCGTCGTTATTGTTGTTGTTGTTGTTGTTATTTGTATGTTTCATCATCATTATTTTCATTTTCATTAATCCTATTTTTTTGGTTTCTCTCATAGATTTTCGATGGCAATAATGACGGTTACAATGTAGTCACCAACGATTTTAATCCTTTCATTAGAGCTCGTCATGTTCGTATTGTTGCTTTGGATTGGAAAGGTCACATCACGTTAAGTGCCGAACTGTACGGATGTAAACCACCTTGAACCTCTGTTAACTAAGCTGTCGTCCGCCATGTTGGAGGTCAGGAACAATAAAATATTCTTTTTTAAGAAAAGAGTTCAGTTCCTCAGAAGAAATTATCTTTGTTTCGTCTTCGAAAATGGTTACCTCTAAGCAGCCATTCATTTCTTTTATAAATAACAGAGATTTCATGTTTTTTATAGAGCAGATAATCTGGTTCCTGTCCTCCAACATGGCGGTCTAGCACGAGGCAAAAACCGGCTGTCATATAATAATAGAGTTTAGCTAAAAAGTTTGATTAACTAGAAGGATTTCTAAACACAAGTTATGATATTCTTACATGTCTTCTTCAAGGCTGCCATGTATTGCTGGATTTTCATCGCATGATAAAGGTCTTTGAATCTCATTATTTGCTCCAAATGGCGTTCAAACACTGACCGAGCTGATGAGCACTCTGCGCAAGACAGGAAATGAAGTCATAGTAAAGCCAACGTCCGAAATATGCTTCGCTTGTCACGCACATAGCTTTCAGAACGAGGCTACGTGCTAAATTAAGTTTAGTCTTTTTTCTGTTGTCACGAATCACTGAGCACTATGCACTATGCCTCGAAGCCTAACAATGAAACCTTCTTCCTTAATCTGTTTGTTCCACCACCTATAATAACATGAAAAATTTGCTCAGCCAATGAGAAGAGCAAACCCTCTATCTTGGCTTTGAAAAAAGGCGGGATTTTTCCCACGCACGCGTCAGAAAAGTCGTGGGAAAAACGCTAGAGAACGGAAGTCATAATCTTTAAAAAGTACAAGCCAATTTTTTAAAGATTTTATAACACATAAAAACTAAAGACACGGTTTACCCACAGATAGAATTAGAATTTTGCATGCGTTTTTGGAGAAAGATAGGAAAACTGGAGAACCATGAGAAAAACCCTCGATTCGAGGGAGCGATTAAGACCTGACAAACTTTACTGTGGACGCTGGAGTCTGGGAATCAAACGGGTAGAAAAACGGGTTCTACCTTCAACTTTTGTGCGTTAATAAGCTTTATATTTCATAAACAGGCTCTTTTGGGGCGGATTAACAAAATACCAAAATTTGGGGAAATTTAAGGGATGCTTATTTGAGATATAACGCCCTGAACATATTTTGATCAGCACAAAAACTAACATTTTCGCTAATACCTCGAAGTAGAATTGCTCGAGGTTAGCAGAATTTTGTGAAAAGTTTAAAGCACAAGAGACACGAATGAAACACTAAACCTCTTTTTTTAGCATGAATAAGAGATAAAGAAAAAAAATTGCGAAAGTAGCAGCCTTGTCGTTTTTCTGCTCTGTTATATTAGAGGCAAGCGCACTGGCTACTGCTATACTATCTTTCATTGAAGCTGTTTTTCTTAATTATTGTTATTATAATTTATTATTATCATTTATTATTATTATTTATTATTGTGTACATTGTTTACTCAAAGAGTCTAGAAGGTATATACATTAAAAATACATGTAGATATATGTCGTATTGTTTCAAAAGGGGCATTGAGCAAATGTTGTTGTTGTTTTCGCTATTTCTATCAAGCTTCAAAGCCAATGAAACTTTAATTTCAAGCAATTTAATTAGAGGAAAGCTATTTATTCGGTTTTGGTGTACTAAACTCATTTCAAATTATTCTTGAAGCAGGTGATGTGAATAAATCGGATTGTTTACCAAGAAAACGAATTTCTTGCCAAGAAAACAAAAGCTACTTAAGATTTTTAAATTATTTGTCTGTACATTTAAAGCGTTTTCTAAGAGTCTTTGCAGCATCGAGAGAACAAATACAAGGAGTATCTTTGAACGCTGACGCTCAATTCTTGACAAAGGTACGTGGTTTGAATTACGTAGCAAGGTTTCTACGATAAAAAATTGAGAAAGTGTATATTAAAACTAGCTGCAAATGAAAGAGAAAAAGTTTTGAAACAGCTTTGTTAATTAATTTTAGTTTGTTTGGTAAGGGCAATTTTTTTTCTTTTCAATTCCATCTACTTTTATTCCAACAGCAATGATAAAAAGGTAAATTATACACCGTGAAAAGATGAAAAAATCTTTTCATGGTGTATAATTTACCTTTTTATCATTAGTGTTTCATTAGAAACACCGACGCAGCTCACACTAGTTTTTAGCTAGTTATCTCTTACGTTTATTCAAGTTCTCGTTTAAGTGTTATGTATTTTGGAGTAAGAAGCATCTCGACTAGAACTCCAGAAAAACAAATAGATAAACGTCTCAAATTTACACCAAAATTAGCATTAGTTCGAACCATTAATTTTTCAAACGTAATGCGAAAACATCTGGGATCATTTCAAACACTCTTTATAGAAATTTATAAAGAGTGTTTGAAATGATCCCATAAAGGAATGAAGTTCAAAAGTGTTTATGGCGATTTAGTTTCTGAAATGCCATATTTTTATTCACATTGAAATGATTTACCCCGAGAAAAACGCTATGAATGTTTCTACAAAAATATTCTAAATTTTGAGATGTTTTTAGCTAATAACATACTATCATTATCGTTGAAGTGTGACCCTCGGAGTTTGATGTAATATCGACAATGACGACTGGACGGGTTTTTTAGAGTCCAAGCAATTAGTATAGGAAATCGCACGATCTCGAGTACAATTTGGAAATTAATAGTCACGAGTAATGTTTTGAAAGTTCTTATAATTGCACGAGCCTTTAGGCGAGTACAATTAAAGAACTTTCAAAACATTACGAGTGTCTATTAATTCCAAATTGTACGAGAAGATCGTGCGATTTTTTGTTTATAGTTCACTCAACAAAATTTCAGTAACAAATGCGAAGCGACGCCGTTCATCTTTGTCTATTTGGCGGCCGATTTCCAGTCCATCGTGCAACTGAAATGCTTAAAAAAGATTAGTTCTTACGGCTTTAAAATTTTATTTATGCTTTTTAAGTACAAAATGATAGAAAATAATTGTTTTGACATTGTTTTGGCCGTGTTGCCATAGCGACTTAATTCGGTACTCCTACGGAGTACAATTAACGCTATAATTGTACTCCTCTCGACCAATCAGAGTCGAGTAATTTTGTTGAGTGTACTATGAGTTCCTAATTAGAACTAATTGCGTGAACTTGAAATCCTGTCCAGTCCGAAATTAGAGGCTTTGAAATTAATTCTCGTGCTCATTATTATTCGACTTGGAGTAACTGGAAGAAAATTAATTCAGTCCTACTAAGGACTGAATTAATTTTGTGCCAGTTCCAGTTACTACAGACTGAATTCAGTCCTTTCACATGACTTTACCAGGTTTCAAGTAACATCATGTGACCCAAAAATAGCCCATTGATTGGCAGGATTCCTCTCATGAATTATTCATGAGTATAAGAATGAGACTTCGCGGACTAGCATTTCAACGACCGTCAATCAAAGAATTGCAATAAAAAACTGAACAAAATATTTTGAGCCGAGTTAAAAATTTTAATTCATAGGGATAGGGGATTAGAATCTTTAATTCAGTCCAAAATCTACGTCAAGATATTGTTTTTTAAACTCAATAGGCCCTTTGCATCTCAGTAATCACGTGCTGATTAATTCACTGAGAGCAAATGAATGAACATCTTGATTCCCATGGGTGAAGTATACTGGTGAGCAAACAAACTTTCTACAACCTGTTTTAAGAGATCGTAATAAAACCACATTCCGTAACACACTGGTTACACATCGTTTCATTCAGTTCTTCACAAGTAGCTAAAAAGAATCACCAATTTAAAATAAAATAAAAACTTTTGCTCACCAGTACAGACACGTGACCGTTAACTGCAAAGAGCCTATTCTTTGATTGACGGTCGTTGAGATGCTTGTCGGCAAACTCTGCGGGTTGCACTTGAAGGATGATAATAGCAAAGGTAATAAGTAAAGAATAAAAAGTCGAATGAATATTCTAGGCGCCAACAAATATTGCTTTGCGTCAAATTGATTGCTTTGATGATTACTAACGGTAATTTTTATTACGAATATCAATTTTCATTGTTAAGATTCTAGACTTCTCGCTAAAAGTTGGCAATTATTTTTTTATATATTCTTTAATTTAGCGTAGAAAATTAAAAATATCCATTCAGGGGGTAAAATCGTTTTAAGAATGAAGGAGTTATTTTCGGTTTTATTATGAATACGATTATGAAGTAAAATAAAGTGCAGTGGCAGGAGTGAAGTGAAGGGAAGGGAAAGGAAAAGAAGGAAAGAGAAGGGAAGGGAAGGGAAAACAAGGGAAGGGAAGAGAAGAGAAGGGAAGGGAAGGGAAGGGAAGGGAAAACAAGGGAAGGGAAGAGAAGAGAAGGAAAGAGAAGGGAAGGGAAGGGAAAACAAGAGAAGGGAAGAGAAGAGAAGGGAAGGGAAGGGAAAACAAGGGAAGGGAAGGGAAGGGAAAACAAGGGAAGGGAAGGGAAGAGAAGGGAAGGGAAGGAAAGGGAAGAAAAGGGAAAGGAAGGGAAAAGAATGGAAGAGAAGGGAAGGGAAGGGAGGGGAGGGAAGGGAAGGGAAAACAAGGGAAGGGAAGGGAAGAGAAGGGAAGGGAAGGAAAGGGAAGAAAAGGGAAGAAAAGGGAAAGGAAGGGAAAAGAATGGAAGAGAAGGGAAGGGAAGGGAAGGGAGGGGAGGGGAAGGGAAGTGAAGAGAAGGGAAGTAAAAGAATAAAAACTATTAGCCATGTACATGTATTTTTGTTCAAAAGAACAAACGACAGTCATTTTGATTAATAAATCTATAATAACTAACAACGCCAATTCTCAGATGGGACGCAGTCATTTGAAGCATCACCTCAGGACAGTCCTATTTGCTTTGCTGTGCCCATTACTTTTCGTGGCTTCGCAGTCCTGTGGTTCTTCCTACTCCCAAAGCAACTTCAAACTCGTCGGGCACACCATCAGGACCTTGTCATCCTCATCATCTGATGAATGCATGTCCGAATGTGCTGCACAACCCAACTGCAACAGCATCAACTTCGAAGAAACCAGCAAAAAATGTGAGCTGAACAAAGCCAATCATCTCTCAAATCCCGAAGGTCTTACACCGTCATTTGGAAGTGCACATGTGTGGCAGTACATTAATTATCGCATGCGATCACCAGCCTTTTGTAGCGACAAGCTGTGCGGTGGTAGGAAACTGTGTTTGCTGAAAAACGATGGAGAAAACTATGAGTGTTCGGAATGTGAAGGTAATGGAGGGGAGGAGATGGAAGGAGATGGAGGTTGAAATATGGGTGGTGTAGTGGTAGTGCACTCGCCTCTCACCTCTGGGGTCTCAGGTTTGATTCCTGGACTCAACATCACATACATTAGTGAATCAAGGGTGGTGTAGTGGTAGTGCACTCGCCTCTCACCTCTGGGGTCTCAGGTTTGATTCCTGGACTCAACATCACATACATTAGGGTTCAAATCCTGCCAAGGGCATTTGATATTTTTCTCTTATTCTCTCTATCACATACATTAGTGAACCAAGGGTGGTGTAGAGGTAGTGCACTCACCTCTCACCTCTAGGGTCTCATGTTTGATTCCTGGACTCAACATCCCATGTGAGTAGAGTTTGTTGGGGTTCTCCGGTGGTTTACTACTTTCCACAAAACCTAACAAGATATATCCCAATTCGATCTGTGAGTTAGCCGTGCCCTGACTTAGATCAGCCCAGAAGATGTTTCAGGGTTTGATCTGTGAGTTAGCCGTGCCCTGACTTAGATCAGCCCAGAGGTTGTTTCAGGGTTCCATCTGTGAGTTAGCCATGCCCTGACTTAGATCAGCCCAGAGGTTGTTTTAGGGTTTGATCTGTGAGTTAGCCATGCCCTGACTTAGATCTGCACAGAGGTTGTTTCAGGGTTTTATCTGTGAGTGCTTTGGCCATGCTATGACTTAGATCAGCGCAGCTGGAGATTGTTTCAGGGTATCGATAAACTTTGAAGTTTTTTTAAACTATTGCCATAGAGGTCCCTGAGTTTGAGCTGTACTCTCTCTCACTTTGAATTCTTTGTGATCTACTTATTGTTTTTTAGATGCGCTGGGTATGGAAGACGGTAGGATTCCTGATTCTGCAATCACAGCTTCAAAAAATGATTCCTCTTCTTTCAACGGCAAATTTGGCCGACTGAGATCAAGAAACTGGTTGATCGAGAATGGAGGATATTATTTCTATATTGACCTTGGTAAAACAATGATTGTCACGAAGATTGCTACTCAGGGATGCGACTGGGGTTCGAAACGGGGTTATGTTAAAAAGTACAGACTTGGATACAGCACTGATAACACGACATGGGTTGAATACACTAACAATGGCACTGACGTAAGTAACGGTGGCTCGAAATGTGTTCATAAATTTTAAATCTATCGATGCAAAAAATCCGACTGCAGGCTTGCCTGTCCCATTATGGTGGCAGATAAATGGCTTTCCATAAGAATGGTTATCGCATGAGTGAGAAACGTACGGGACTAAGGCTGCGTTCATAATGTATGACACCCCCCTTAAAGTCATGCAAAAAAATACGATCCCCGCTAAGCAAGGCTTGTAGCTTCTTCCAAAAATTATGCATCCCCCCATTTTTCTGATACAAATTTGTCCATCCCCCTTTTTCCCACCAAAATTTTCCCGATCCCCTCAATTTCACCTGCTCCCCCCTCCCCCCTCTGCCATACATTATGAACGCAGCCTAACTTCCAGCACGTACACGGTACGCGACATGCCGTATTATTGAAATGGCTTGTCATAAGAATGATTATCGTATGAGTGAGAAACGTATGGTACTGACTTACAGCACGTACACGGTACGACATGCCGTAACATTGAAGTGGCTTCCCATAAGAATGGTTATCGTAGGAGTGAGAAACGTATGGTACTGACTTACAGCACGTACACGGTACGACATGCCGTAACATTGAAGTGGCTTCCCATAAGAATGGTTATCGTACGAGTGGGAAACGTAAGGTACTGGCTTACAGCAGGTACACGGTACGCGACATGCCGTATTATTGAAATGGCTTGTCATAAGAATGATTATCGTATGAGTGAGAAACGTACGGTACTGACTCACAGCACGTACACGGTACGACATGCCGTAACATTGAAGTGGCTTCCCATAAGAATGGTTATCGTATGAGTGAGAAACGTACGGTACTGACTTACAGCACGTACACCGTATAAGACATGCCTTAATACTGACTGAAATGGCTTCCCACTAGAATAGATTCCTTTTGAAAGATCCAATCACAATGCACTCTAATTCCATGAAGCGTTCGTAGTAATGTTTTATTTCCTGTAGGTTTTAGTTGCCAACACTGACGAATCCACAGTGGTCACCAACTCGTTACAGCCAAATGTCAAAGCTCGTTTTCTTCGAATGTCGTCTGCCTATTCGGTTGAAGGGGATTTTATAAGAGTAGAGCTGTATGGATGCCCCAATAAAATATGAAACTGCAATAGGACACTTGCAAGAAGAAGAAGAAGAGGAAGAAGAAGAAGAAGAAGA